ACTCAAGTGCGGCTGCTGGTGGTGGCACGTGGCAAGTTGACACGTGGCAAATGGCCACTGCCACCACAGCTCTAATTGGCTCCGTCTGCTGCAACTTTGGCTATCATCGCAGTATGCCCTGGTCCCAAAGCCATGCTTTCTCGTTGCCTCCGTCAAAGAAAACCTGTCTCTCGACTGTCACTTGGTTCATTGTCTGTCTGTCTGTCTGTCTGTTTAAAACATCAGCCCCATTGATAGCCGAGTTGCTGATAGCGTTCATCAACCAAGCGTCAAATGAGTCGGTGTCATCTTTGGGAATCTCGTACAGCAGCCGACTCCTGCCGATCAGCAAAGGCAATGCGTCACTTGTCACTTGTCAAATGTCACGCGTCACTTGTCAAATGTCTCGCGTCACTAGTGGAGCCAAGTAGCAATATTTTGAGCTTGGTGACAAATGGCAATGGTGTCAAGTTGGAAGCGACGGATGGTGACACATTGTAGTAGGCGTAGATCTCTTCCCTAAGTTAAAAATGCATGCCACTGACAAATCACAAATGACAAATGACAAATGACTGACTGACATAATCTAACTTGCCATCGAGATGCAACACCTCATCATCCTGGAGCCAGTTCATCGGGCCACGTGGCGAAGGTGGCCGTGGTTCCTCTGGCGACTCTGGCGACTCTGGCGCATCTGGCTCGTCACCATCATGTGTCACATCGGCAGGATTGTCAGGTGCCACCTGGTCCTGGTTCTGGTCCTGCTGCTCCACATTGACATCATCCTGCCGTGTGTCATCATGCCAATTGGCATGTGACGCATGTGACTCCCAGCCACTTGACCAGTCGCCAGACCACCAGCCGCCGGACCAGCTGTGCCACCAATCATCACCACGCCAAGGCCACGCATGTGGCATGTTCTCAGGAGGAGGTGGTCCTGGTGGTGGCCCTGGAACCCTGAACCTTTTCCTCCAAGGGGCGTTGGCAATGTCAGCCTGGTCACCTGGCACGTAGTCACCCGGCACGTAACTGGATTCCTGGTGACTGGATGCCTGCTGGCTGGATGCCTGGTCCACTGGGCTGGGTTGGCCACCTGTCACCTCACTGCATGGCGCCGATGCCTGTGCTGGAGCTGCCTGTGTTGGAGCTGCCTGTGCTGGAGGTGGCTGTGCTGGAGCTGCCTGTGAGGGAGCTGCCCGTGCTGGAGCTGCCTGTGATGGACGAGGTGGCTGTGCTGGAGCTGGCGGTGCTGGTGGCTGTGCTGGAGCTGCCTGCGCCGGAGTTGCAACAGATGCCTTGCACAGCACGCATTTAAGTCATCAATGGTGACATGTGACATGTGACAATATTGAACCAACCGAACCGTATAATCGGTTGAGACAAGATGCCATTTGCGCAGGTGGCACAGAATCCTGCATCTCGATCAGCGGAATCACATGCTGATATTTCCTTGGAAGATGGGACATCAACAGCGATGAACAACAATGGCAGCAATGCGTGCGATGCGTCACATCATAGCTGGCGAGGCACCGGTGCAGGTTCCATGAGTCTACAAAGATCTCCAACGCCTTGATGCTGACATTCTCCAAACTTCCAGCGGCATTGGCCCACATGGCAGGTGGCAAACACCACAGCTGAGCCTTCTCCCTTAGCCGAATGACAAATCGAAATCGAGTCACAATTTACCCAAGGAATCCTCACGCAACAGGACCAAAGCAGAATCAGTTTAATTGAGCTATGCTTCAGTGTCTCCTGTTCATTGTAGAAAGCGTGCATGCCAACGCACATCTGTGAAAATTGACGCTCGGAAACCAACTGCTGGTACCCAATGAGAACATGGCAGCCAAAAGCCTTAGTTGAAGCACATTGTAAACAATTTTAATATTGAATCTCAGATGGCTCAATCATGTGTCATCATGCCTCACCCCTCGAATAGAGTCCAGGCACTTTCAAAATGGCATATACCACAGCGGCGGTGCATGGAGCACGATGCCAGCCAGACGAACAGCAGCACCTTGACAGCACATGTTAGCACAGTTTAGCAACACCTGGCCACCTGTCACGTGTCTCTTGACAGCACATTTTAACACAGATTAGCAACACCTGGCCACCTGTCACGTGTCAATCGCTGCAGTCAAGACTCCGCACAACCCGGGTCGGGAAGCACAAAATGTCCTCGATGACATTGAGGAAGTCAGGATGTGACATCACCTCCCTCATGGTTGCAGTGGTGACACCGCTTTCACGTGAGCAAAACTCCTGTGACCTCAGTCAATGCAAATGATCATGTGACATAAAACATTGAAATTTGAAATATGTGACATCTTACGTGCGCAAACTCAAATGCAAGCGGGTGGCATTTTGGACGTGTGCAACAAGTGCGCAAGGCGGTGTTCCCAACGTTCGGACTCCTTGAAGCCGAGGGCCAAATCCAGATCAGCCACCGTGTGGATATGGCAAGGGTTGATCGTGCAGCCAATCTGGCACATGGCAAAATGAGCTAAGAGTTCTGTATATGAAAACGCACATTCAAAGACTCAAAGATGAAACACTCAGACTTAGCAACATCCCCAGCATGAGCCTGGTTCAGGCACTTGTCACTTGCGCCATATGCCACAACCAGGATGGGTTGCGAGGACCAGGCCACTGACGTACCTTTTGGCGTGACGACGGTCTTGGTCTCCCACGCCTTGCCCCAGTCCACCGCAGCAGCAAAGTATGACAATGGTGTGACAAATGACACATGACAAATCAGTTGACGCGCAAGCCAATTTGAAACATCAGTCGAGACGCAGTGCTGGGATCTTGCCATGGGCTGTTTGGCACTGGCACATGGCGATTGGCAAATGCAGCAGGAATGTGACTATCGTCAACCTGAGGTGGTACATCATTCCAATAGTCCTCATCCCATATGCTACTTGGATGGGCCGGCTTGTCGGAGGGAGGCTGCGACGGTGTCACACCTCAGCTGCTAAAAAGACACGACAAGCAAGGAGCCACATGTCATTTTACAATAATAAGTAGTTTGACACAGCGACACACACACACACAGCACATGATTTATTCCAGGAGTCTGTCTGAGTGCATTCTCAACACCCTTCAAAATGTAGCCAGACTTGTCAGTTGGCTCAGCTCTCTTGAAGGCAGCCCTTGGCAAGGCGAAAATTCAAAAACATTCAATGAGTTGTGAGCATGAGCCGGTTCAGATGTCCACAGCGCTGCCAAGACACACCAAATTCACAGCAGCCTTTTTATCTGCCAAATGAAGCAAATAAAGTGCCTGAGATCAAGAGGGTTGAGCAAGTGACACATGACACATGATTCAAACATGACACATGACACATGACAAATGATCAAGGGGGTTAAACTTCGGCAAAGGCACCCACACGCACTTCCTGAGTTCAATCAAGTTCATGCTCGCAAACACAACCCGAACACAGTCACAAAAGCACCCAGTGCAATCGAGCATCTTCTCCGTGCACACGGAGGTGTCAATCCCCTCGTCCTCCAGGATCTCTTCAGCACGCGATGGCTGATCGTACTCGTCCATTCACGATGGCAATTGTATGATATGTGACATGTGACTCGGCATGTGACATGGCATGTGTCATGTGTTGGAATCATGTGACATGTGACTGTGACGCCTCATGTGTCAACTTGATCCAAGAATATCATTGAAAGGCAGCTCAACTGTCAACTGTCACCATGACACATGTTTCTCACTTGTCACATGTTTGCAAGTTTAAAATGCTTGACAAGTGATTGCACAAAATGACTCGATCTCAATCTCGCCTTCTCTGACATAGTCCTTGAAGAAAGCACCCGGTCGGACCTCAACAGTGTGACATGTGGCATGTGACAATGTCAATTGAATGAAACACTCCCGAATCTACCACTAATGCAATCTTCTGACTGACTCTTTCATTGTCAAGTGACAAGTGGCTCTAGACTCGAATCAGAATGCGTGAAACTGAGGCATATGGCACATGGCATGTGATCCTGGGCAGCTGACCAAGACATGAAGACAGCCTCAAGTCAAACGGAGCCCACGATTTCAACAGGAAACATGACTTCACATGACACATGACACTGACAATTCATGCAATGGCAAATGAATGACTCTAATTCTGATTAAAAATTATGTCCTACCCCCCCTCTCACTGTGGACCGCACCAAATCCTGACAGACAAACTCCTGATTTCAGGAGTTTGTCTGTCAGGTTCCACCTATCACGTGATTTTAATTTGAGCCGAAATTCTACAGTAAAGGGCGAGCTGTTGATAGGTAAAAAGATTGCAGAAATACAAAAAAATAAAAAATCCCTCAAACGTCCACCCAGTGTATATATATGCAATTATATGCATGCGTCATCCGCCGTGTGTCTTGTATTAAAGGCAGTGCGATGGTCTGACTAAACCAAAAGAAGGAAGGACATGATTGAAATGTGTGACAGCCTTTAGTGACTCTAGTGGCATGTCTTTGTACATGTCCTATCCTTGGCAAGCATCTGTGTAGACGACGGAGGCAACACCGTGTTTGCGATGGCTGCGACTTCATCCTCAGTGCAGCAAACCATATAACAATTTAGTAACAATTTAGCATGAGCCAGTGTGGCACCCAGGCAAGTATTGGAAAGTCTTATGCCCATCAGGGGATGCAAGAGCTCCCCATGTCAAACTTCGATTCTAATAGCAAACATTGTTACTACTAGTAAGGCACCTGTTACTACTAGCGTGGCACTTGTTCCTAGTAGCTTCCTTGTTACTACGTCACATGGATGCCCTTCAAGTGTCAGAACTCACGAATTGGGACACGTGTGGTCTCTGATCAGGTTGACTGCTTGTCTATTGAATGCATAACGACTTTTGCCCAGGAACCAAGTAAAGATTGTCGAAGACGCCATCTGAGCCCACAATCACAATGTCCCCTTCCTTGGCAGGTCTTGGTGGAATCAAGCGCCTGCAGCATGTCCCATATGCAGCCCAAAGGAACAAATCAGGAAAGGTGTGGAAAAGAACACTTCAACCAAGTGATTCAAACTTTACTGCCACACTATGCCGCGCTGCATACGCGGAAATGCAGTGAACAGCGCTACCACGCTCAATCACTTCGACGGTGATGCTGTCCTTAGGTCTGTCTGACAAGGCAACTCGAAAAATAATGAAAAAAACATTCCACCAAAAAGGCTTGTTAGAATCAGAGCTGGCACAGCTGATCATTGCTGTGCGACAAGGCTCATGGAACTGCGCGTCAATGCGTTCATCCACGCGAGCAAGCCTGGTCCACAAGATTCACATGGAGGGCAGCAAAGGCTATGAAAAGGATGCTCAAACTACGCAGGACAACAAAAATGCATTAAAAAGAGTATTGAAATTCATTGAATCCTTGAAGAAACTGAGACAAACTCGGAACAGCATCGTCCCTCATGAGATCATATGGGATCCAAGCAGCTGCAAGGGTGTCTGACAATGACCATCCACCCGCTGCATCTCAGTGTGGAAAACCAATTCCAAAGGCCCAGACCGGCCCTGCAACCGACGCCTCCAATGGTGACGCACTGCACTTCGATCTAGGGACTCAATAGATCTGCTCCGATGTCAAAATACGCTCGAATCGAGATTTTACTTCAAAAAGCCAGGGTGCAAAATCACCAGCTCACAATCTCCAATTGAGATCACCTGGAAACAGGCAGGACATTTGGGATGCCAGTACGTGACATTCGAGTCCGGCCCTTGCCATCACTTCGTTTCTAGAATGGATTCCAAAACTGTAGGTCTTGTGTTTTCTGCCGTGTTCAGATTTAATCGATATCCTTGTGTTTGCGTTGAGATTGGAATTGTCTGGTGCTGTGTTTTGTGCCCAAGGTTAAGGTTGCGCCTTACTTTTGGTTGTGGTGTTTTTCCAAATGTAAGTCTCCCGGATTTTCCGTTCTCTTTTTTATTGGTGTTTGTGCGGAATAGAAGGCGGTGGCCTTGTGATCCTTCCGGAGCTCACTGCTGGTGGACTAAGCTCAAACACAGTATGTGAGCCCCTCTCGAAGAGGAGATTTGGCCCGGCTGACAACAGGCCGGGTCTAGAGTCTCTCTCCCTGGAATGTCCGTTCTGCATCTACTCCCGTAAAATGAAGTTTTAAAATGAAGCTCACTGTTGCAAGCTTGGGCAAGCGGCAGCAATCATCGGGTGCAGCTTGCCATGGATGCGGGTGGAATTGTCAAGTAACGCCTCAGAAGCCAAAAGTTGCTCGATCTGAAAGTGATTGGGGCCAAACATTCTCTCGCTTGAGGCGAATGCGTGCAATATCGTTCAGTTTCTTTCGATGCGCCGAATCAAAGCCTCACCAGAACCATGCACGGCCACCTGCTGCTGAGGCACTAGAACCAAGGTCGTGGAGCCGATGCACCTCAGCAACGACGCATATCGCGGTTTTTGTTGCTACGTGCTATGCATGTGGACGGGAGAGGGTCAAACCGGGCAGGTCGGCCACGAATCTGAGCATCTCAGTTTCAAAGCAGACTCCAATAGACTCCAACATCAGCTTGCAGTGTCACTGAAGCATTCCCCCTTGCGCTTTCCAAATGAGTATCAGGGGTAATCATGCCAGGATATGCCAGGTTCTTATTGATTCTTACTGAGGCTTTCATCAATGCGTTGAACCTGCAACCAGCGACAGCAACACCACACACCCGCATCATCTTCGTTGAAGGGGAAACCTTCCGTTCTGGGCCGCAAAAGGTCAAGGCTCATGATTCATGGCTGGAAGATCTGCTGAACATGTGCGTTTGAAGAAAATCATGATGTACCATACACACTTTCTTGGCACGGTCCTTGGCACTAAAAGCTTTAGCATGCTTTAGCCAAGTGGCTCTGTATTACAAAAAGCCTCCCGAACCAACGGTATTGGGCCGTGGTATGGGGCCTGAGTAGGCACAAAGTCCCAGCTGCACACCACAGGCATTGAACACATTGAACAAGCAAATCCTGCAGTTACATCAGAAAAGCAATGACCAGCGATGATAGGTAATCACAGCTCTTTTGGGGGCTAGTTACGTGACTTTTCCGCGGCAGCAGCTGATCGAAAGCCAACTCCTCGCATTGCCGTAGCAATTCTGTAGGCCTTAGATCATCAATGTTGTAGGCTCGAGAGCATGCAAATAGTCGATGCGATCAACTCGGCTATGTCGACCTATGATTAATAAAGGGACCCGAAATAAAGTTAGCCAAGTTGCGCCCTGATTAACAAAGAGACCCTAAATAAAGTTAGCACATTCTCCATTTTTTGAGTTGTTTTTGTTTTAATTTATTTATTAATTATGTTTATTTATTTGTGGTTTTAATTAAGGTTATTTGTGTTTGTTAATTATGTTTTTTGTTTTTCGATTGTTTGTTTATGTTTGAACGTTTTTTCAGTTTCTAAAAATGAAGCCACCAAACCCAAGATACAGTTTACCCTAGATAAAACTAAAAATTGTGGTTTACTAAATTACTTTACTTCGAAATTCCCCACCCTCAAAGAATTGGTCTTCACAAGAGAAAAGCGGTTCGGCGCGAAAAGGATTCTTTATTGAAAACAAAACCACACATCGAATACTTACGATTTTTTAATGCCTGGCAACCCCACATCCCTGCCAAGTCAACTTGTGGTGGATATGCTGTGGAACTGGTACTTGGGAGCACTCTGGTGAATGTGCTGGTGTAAAGGCTACGCGGGCTACTCGGGGCCACTCTGGTGGATGTGCTGTGTAAGGGCTACTCTGGGCCACTGTGGGCCACTCTGGTGGATGTGCTGTGTTCTTTGGGTTGCTCTGAGCTACGCTGGGACCACTCTGGTGGATGTGCAGAAGTAGCGTGTCTACTGAAGTCCAAAGTTCTTAAAATCTAACAGCCCCACAGTCCTACGGGTGAGAAAAAACTGCGTACAATACAAGTCTACAACTATCCTGCGATCTCTTTGGTAAATGTGCTGTGGAGAAGCTAGGTTGCGCTACTAAAAACTGTGGTTGCTGTGGACCAGCTAAGTTGAACTACTTAGAAATCAGTTTGTGAATGTGCTGTGGAAGAGCTAGGCAGCTAGGTTTAGCTACTCAGGGATCAGTTTGGTGAATGTGGTGTGAATACTCAGAGGTCATTTTGGTGAATGTGCTGTGGAAGTGCTACGTTGAATTACTCAGGGATTACTTTGGTGAACAGGGATCAGTTTGGCGAGCGTGCTGTGAAAGAGCCACTTTGGGCTACTCAGAGATCACCTTGGTGAACGTGCTGTGGAAAAGCTAGCTTGAATACTCAGGGATCACTCTGGGGAACGTGCTGTGGAAGAGCTACTTTGGGCTACTCCGGGATCTCTTTGGTGAACATGCTGTGGAAGTGCTGCGTTGAACTACTCAGGGATCACTTTGGTGAGTGTGCTATGGAAGAACTGCTTTGGGCTACTCAGGGATTACTTTGGCGAGTGTGGTGTGGAAGGGCTAAGTTGGGCTAGTCAGGGATTCCTTTGGTGAACGTGCTGTGAAAAAGCTACTTTGGGCTTCTCAAGGATTACTTTGGTCAACGTGCTGTGGAAGATCTAAGTTGCGCTACTCAGGGATCACTTTGGCCAGTGTGCTGTGGAAGAGCTAAGTTGCGCTACTCAGGGACCACTTTGGTGAGTGTGCTGTGGAAAAGCTAAGTTGGGCTACTCAGAGACCACTTCGTGAGTGTGCTATAGAAGAGCTAAGTTGGGCGACCGGGCGTACTGAAGTCCGAAGTTCTAAAAACCTAACAACCGACAGGCCTACGGGTGAGAAAAACGCAGCTTTTGTTGGCTTGATAAGTACATTGCAACTCTACAACCACCTTGGAATCACTTTGGTAAATGTGCTGTGGAGAAGCTAAGTTGCGCTACTAAGAACTGTGGTTGCTGTGGAAGAGCTAAGATGAGCTACTTAGAAATCAGTTTGTGAATTTGCTGTGGAAAAGCTAGGTTTAGCTACTCAGGGATCAGATTGGTGAATGTGGCGTCAATACTTAGAGGTCATTTTGGTGAATGTGCTGTGGAAGTGCTACGTTGAACTACTCAGGGATTACTTTGGTGAACAAGGATCACTTTGGCGAGCGTGCTGTGGAAGAGTTAAGTTGAACTAGTCAGAGATTACTTTTGTGAGTGTGCTGTCAAAGAGCTACGTTGAACTACTCAGGGATTACTTTGGTGAACAGGGACCACTTTGGTGAGTGTGCTGTGGAAGAGCTAAGTTGCGCTACTCAGGGATCACTTTGGCCAGTGTGCTGTGGAAGAGCTAAGTTGCGCTACTCAGGGGCCACTTTGGCCAGTGTGCTGTGGAAGAGCTAAGTTGGGCTACTCACACTTTGGCGAGTGTGCTGTGGAAGAGCTACGTTGGGCTACTCAAGGACCACTTTGGCCAGTGTGCTGTGGAAAAGCTAAGTTGCGCTAGTCAGGGACCTCTTTGGCCAGTGTGCTGTGGAAGAGCTAAGTTGCGCTACTTAGGGACCACTTTGGCCAGTGTGCTGTGGAAGAGCTAAGTTGCGCTACTCAGGGACCACTTTGGCCAG